AATGCCTTTTGCTGCTCTTCTCCTGGTGGATCACCAGGAGCAGCAGGGAGCCACACCACGAGGTACTTACTCCATCTTGGCTTCCAGGTTGTGGATGGTCTGCTTGTCCAGATAGCGACAGAAGAGCGAGAGAAGGTTGCTGGGCAAGAAGAGAGGCTCCACCAGCAAGTCCTTGGGGACTCTTGATAGCTCCCGGGCAACCAGGAACACCATGTCAGTCCTGGAGGCATCAACATGGGGGTGGAGGGTGTGAGTATCCCACCAGGTGGTGAACCCCAACCCCACTGCTTCCGCAGTCCCTCACCACATCTCGAAGTCCCCACCACATGGCTCCAGGGGCAGGTCAGAGGACAGCAGCCTCTCGCCATGGCTCAGTAGGTAGTAGAGCAAGGAGATCCCAAACTGCACAAGGAAGTACCAGGAGGAGCATCACAGCTGGTGGCAGCAGGCCAAGGGCCATCATGAGGTTCTGCCCTCCTCAAGGTAAGGTCATGTACCTGGTTCTTCAAGGCCATGGTGAGGGGCAGCTCAAGAAACTCTGGTAGAGGCCTGGTCATCTTCTGCAGTACCTCAATGAGTTTGCTGAAGGTCATCCTGCCCACCACCTCATTCAATGGGCTGTAGAGCACGGGGAGAGACTGTGCAGGGCAGAGTGGAAAGCAGGGATCTGAGACCGCTTGACCCACCACAGCCCCATCCCATCACCCAAGGGGAATGCAAAGGCCAACACTAAACCCCCTGATAGAGGGACTACCACCAGGACTCCTTTAACTCCTCCAGGAGACCTTTATCCTCTGTTCCAGGGAAGGAAAGCGGTTCCTCTCTCATGTCAACCCCACCAGCTGCTCAGTCATTCTGGGACACCTCACCAAGACGTGCCCCACCATCACCCAGGGTGCCCCTCAAGAGAGACCAGAGAGGGGGGAAGAGGCAGCTGGGGATGTTCCTGCCCTAGCTGGCGGTGCTCACCTCATCCAACACATCCTTCTTCATGAGGAAGGGCAGGTGGTGGGCGATGGTCAGCAGGATCTTCTCCGCTTGCTCCTGGCTCAGGTGGGGCAGCAGCCGGGCCACGAGCTTCTTGCCCTTCCGCACACAGAGGAGTTGCAGGAACTCATCCTCTGCCTCCCTGGGGATGAAGGCTCTGTTGGCACAGATCCCAAAGGGACCTGTAGCACCTCTGCCCACCCAGAAGGGTCGCCATCACCTCCAGCAGGGGACGAGGCTTGTGGGAAGGGTCAGCACAGGTCACGGTGACACAGAGGATAAGATCCAACCTTCCCTGTCACCCAGGGCTCCTCCTCTGTCACCTTCTGAGCCCCGTGAGGACAAGGACGTGCCACCTGCTCCCCTCTCCCCACGGCACAAACTCACTCTTGGCTTCTGCAAGCCCCGATTTTCAAGGCTTGGTAGATGGTCTCCACTTTGTGGTTCTTCTGCTGCTCCTCTGGGGTCATGGGCATCTTCCGCTCCACCTCCTCCACCTCCAGCAGCTGCACAAAGAGCTGGAGGAATAGCACAGAGTGCTTTAAGAGCATCTTCTACCAACTTTGTGCCATCCAGGAGACATGTCCAGATGCTCCCTCAGAGCTTCTTGGATGAAAACCATGGTCTACACCACCTCACCCTGCCACAAATCACAGCTCGCTCACCTTCTCAATCCTGTGCAGAGCCCGAAGCCGGTGGCTCCCCGTGGCCTTCAGGAGAAGACAAAGGAGGGGACAACAGTTACAGCCAGCACCAGCCACTGCCGCCAGCAGAATGCTGCGCCAGCTTCTCCATGGGGATCAAAGGTGGCTTCAGGACATGGAGCAATCCCATGAGGAGGCCACAGCCAGCTCCAACCACCCCAGAGCCCCATCCCACCACCGAGGTGGCATCCTGACCCCATGGCTTGGTCACAGCAGCTTTTAAAGCTCCTGCTAAAAGCACTCCAGGGCCTGGAGAAAGCTCCGAGTGGTGCTTTCAAGCCAGCTTCTCCTCACCCACCTCCTCCACGTGGGCGTGGTGCACGGCGTCAATGGCCCGGCGAGGGCTGTAGCAAGTGGAGACCGCAACCTGGCCCAGCGAGCCGGCGATGCGCACCACTGGAAGAGAGAGGGGGGGATGTGGGGAGACGAGGACCCTTCAAGGCCTCACCTGACCCACCACCACCTGCCCCAGGCCCTCACCGGAGTCGTACGTCTCCACTTTCTGGATGAATGGCGTCACCAGCTTGGGGGGCTCCTGCTTGTTGCGCCCACCCAGTGGCTCCTCGGCCTGCTTGCGCTCCAGGTGGTGGTAGTAGGTCTGCAAGGACAAGGGTGGCCAGGAGGACAGGCACCAGGAGCTCTGCCACCCTCCAGCTCCCAAAGTGATAAAGTCATAGAACCACAGAACCCTTCTGGATCAAAGAGACCTTTCAGATCAAGTCCAACCATTCCCCCAGCACTGCCAGGTCCCCACTGACGCATACCCCTCAGCACCACATCTCCACGGCTTGGAAATCCCTCCAGGGATGGAGATTCCCCCACTGCCCTGGGCAATTCTAGCATGGAAGAAATTGTTCCTCAGATCCAGCCTCAACCACCCCTGGGGCAACTTGAGGCCATTGCCTCTTGTCCTATCACTTGTTCCTTGGGAGAAGAGCCCAACCCCCAACCTCCTATTGGGGAACATGTTGGTTTCACCTTCAGCTACCTGTCCACCAACCCCCCCCAGGTCCTTTCCTGCCCTGAAGAGCAGGACCTCACCTGGTAGTAGTAGTCGTCATCCGTGTTCTCGCTCTGCAGCTGGATCATCTGCACCTTGATGACCCAATCCTTCTCCTTGGAAGCCATCAGCCCGCCATACGGGTCTGCCTTCAAGAACCACAGCTTCTTGGGGGAGATGCTGGCAGGGGAGAAGATCTCAGTGACCAGCCCCATCAGCACCCCCCACCACCCCCCCGGGGTCCCCACTCACCTCCGCACCTGCCGCTGCGTCAGGATCCGCTGGTGCCGCGGGCGGCGCAGGGGCATGGCAGTGGCTGTGCTGGGAAGGAGACCCCCCCCCCCCCCCCTGCCGCTGCGTCAGGATCCGCTGGTGCAGCGGGTGCAGCTGGGTCATGGCAGTGGCTGTGCTGGGAAGGAGACCACCACAGGGGGCTCGGCACCCTTACCAGGGCCATCTCCAGAGGGGGGACAACTCCCCCCAGGCTGCTCTGTGGGGGTCCTCTGGCCCCACCCGAGCAACCCTGCTAACCTGAGGTTCAGCTGGTTGCTGGCTGCTGGGCTGAAGAGAACAGGGTCCAAAGAAGGAGACATGGGGCCGAAGTGCATGGCAAGAGGCCGCGGCGGGCTGCTGACGCTGGGCGACACGGGCCGGAAAGGGCTTGGAGACCCGTACCCCATGCTCTGGAGGGGAGGAGAAGAGCCATCACGTGGCTGAACCTTCCTCTCCGAGGGTCCTACAAGGATCTGCCAGCTCTTGGCTCCCATCCTCCTCACGAGGGGCCGTGGGGACACTGTGGCAAGGTGGTGGCCACCAGGATCCTGCTCCTACAGCTCAGCAAGATGCCACCAGGAACTGCGTGCCACCAGGTCCACCACCGAGCACAAGACCACCCTGGGGGAGGGTCCCGTTGGGACATCAGGACAAACAGATTTATGAATCCCTGTCAGCAAGACACCAGAGATGGGTGTTCAGGATGAGATGGAGAAGGCACTTTGGGGAGGTGCTGTCCCTACTCCCTGCTGCTCCAGGGCCACTTCAGAGGAGACACAGCGGTGGCTCGTAGCCCGCTGCGTTACCTGGCTTGAAGCAAAGAGCGGAGAAGGTCTGTGGCCCAGTGTGAAGGGCTGAGGGGAGCATGGAGGCATCAGAGGAGACTGCTGGAAGACAGGAGAGGGGAGGTGGCTCTGGGACAAGCCCACCTCCTCAAGGCTGTAGCTCTGGAGAGAGTGAGGGCAGAAAGAGGGGACAGAAGAATACCACCACCCCAAACCCATTACCTGCTGGAGAAAGTGCTGGGAGAAGGACTTGGGGGACATCAGCCTCAGGTTGGGGTGCTTGAGCCGAGGAGAACCCCTGTAGCCCCTCTGGACGGGGGAGCTGAGGAAGTCAAGGGCCACGTTGGAGGACAGTGGGGGCCTCTCCAGGACATGCAAGATGGCTTTGTCCTGCTGGGAGGAGGCAGCAGGAGATGGCAACGGGGCCCACCTGGGACCAATTTAGCTCCCCCAGTAGCAGGCAGCTTATCAAGACCTTTGGTCATTGCTCAGCCAGAACGTGCTCCAGCCAGGCTCCCATCTTGACAGTGTGCAGTGGTGGAGGACCCTCGAGGACACCCAACGTGGAGGTCCCCATCCCTCCAAACTCAACAGCTTCGCCTTCACACCTGGGGTGGACACCTGCACCTTCAGCCTTAGCACCCAAGATCTGTGCACCACCAGACCCACAGTGAGGTTCTGGAGGTCCCTCAGTCACCCCAAATCTCCTGCACCTTGGACCAGGGTAGCAGGGAGCCCCTGGTACCCCCATACCCACCTCCAGCACGTGGTGGGGTGGGATGCTGCCGGGGCAGGAGCCCCATGCTGCAGGGTCCATCGCCAACTAGAAGACAGAGAGATAGTCAGCACGGGGCAGGAGGACTGGAGAAGAGGGACAGGGGACACCGGGTGGGAGGGGACATTTTTACCACGTCGTCTTTGCTGAACTCAGCCCAGCAAGGACCAATCCTGCTGTCCAGCACCGCTGAGTCCTGGCTCTGCAAGCAAAGAGGAAGTTACAACCCCAGCATGGTGGGACTTCCTCCCTTGGGCAGGGACCAAACCACCCCCGGTGTCCTCCATAGGGCTGGAAGGGGGACAGCAGGACCCTCTCCTCGGACATCACCTCCAGCGTGGGTTTGCTCTGCACGGCTCTCATCACCGCCGGGTCTCCCAGGTCATTGGGCTCCTCACAGGGTTCCTGGTCTTCCTCCTGCTCCTCAGCCTCCAGCTCCTCCTCTTCCTCCAACTCAAAGTCAATCTGCTCAACCTCTGGCTCCATCCCACCTTCCTCCTGGGGTTCTCCTAGCTCCTCTGCCACTCCAGGTCCCTGTTGCTCCATCACCTCAGTCTCCTCTGCCACCTCTTCAGCCAGCTCAGGGCCCATCTCTGGAGGCATCAGGAGATTCACAGTGTCCTCTTCAGCAGAGTCTTGGTGGGAGGAAGCACAGTATGTTGGGGTGGGCTGGGGTCCCTGCTCCCCACACAACTCCTTCCCGGGCAGGAGGACACCATCCTCACTACCCCACCTTCAGCCTCCTCAACCCCGTTAGGTGCTGGTTGAGCTTCTCCGAGATCTTACCTAACCCAAAAGTCATGTCATTGTATAGGTTGAGCTCTTCATCCTCCTCAGCTATCTCCTCCAGCAGGGGCTCATCTTCCACCAGCAGATAGTCCTCAAGTATCTGGAGTTAAAAGCAGCAGCCCCC